CCGCTGGTTGCCAACAAACAATTTCCCAATTTCGGAGCCAATTTCAACTTCACAGCGAAGGATATTGGACTCGAGACAACACAAGTTCAACTTCACAACGAAGGGACGACTGGTTGTCAACAAACAATTTCCCAATTCCAGAGCCAATTTCAACTTCACGACGGAGGATATTGGACTCGGAACAATCCTACTTGGATTTCAACTTCACGACGAATGATATCCAATTCCAGGCTCAACTTCACGACGAAGGGGCCACCCGCGGTTTCAACTTCACGACGAAGGGAATCGTGCACACAAGCATCATCCATCTTTAGATTTTATTTCAACTTCACGACGAAGGATATCCAACTCAAAGAATGATTATCTGTCAACAAAGACCTTCGATTTTGACTACGCTCAGCTCCAAGGCACATCATTTACAGTATAACTCAAGGCTAGAAGGGTTATCTGCCATCAAAATTGTCGAGTTCGATTTCATTCAGCTCGATGACACATCAATTGCACTACTTTCCGGAGCAACCATTTTCAAGCAGCATAGCTTAAGTCAAGAAAAAACTATCTGTCAATGAAGATTTCTGAATTCGATTCCGATCCAAGGTCTTTAAACCGAGAAGAAGACCGGAGGGCAACGGGAAGCCACGTGCTGATTCAAATTCCGAACTACGGCTTCAATTTCATATCATTTCAAGATGAACTCGACTTCACGATGGAGGAGTCATCCGTAACTCAATTCGACAGGGAGTTATTGAAATATCAGAGTCAATTTTCAACTCCACTAAACGAAAAGTGTGTCTTTTAATCTTTGCCCTATCCCCGTTACACGACTACGGGCAAAGAGGGGCAGCTGTCAACACACCTTTTCGTCCTACTAGGATTCAAACTCCTAAAAATAGGATAGAATTTTAGGATTCAAACTCCTAAAAATAGGATAGAGTTTTACTATGATTTAAACTCTTAAAGATAGGATTCACAAGCATTATAAATAGTCATTGTAACTCACTATTGTAACAAACGATTTACACACAAAACACAGAGGAAAGCACGGAAAATACAAAGGCAAAGCTATTGTAAACGATTCGAAAAGGAAATAAAAGGTAGCATCTTTTTTACATTGGTTCGTTCATTTCTCGCATGTGTACGTTATTTTTCTTGAGATTTGGTTCGAATAACCCAAAACGTGGGTTGCGCATATAACCAAAAAGGGTTGGGGTTTCGAAGTTTCGAACCTAGATATACCCCCGAGGCGTGTTTATTTTTTTTAAATATTTAATTCACCCCCCTAAATCATTTTTCCTACTTTATTATTCTTGTTATATATGCATGTTACTTTCTATTAATTTTATTATATATATATTTTTTTGTTATATATATATATATTATATATTTCCTATTTACATGTATAAATACGTATATTACTTTTGATTTTCTTTTTTTTTTATTATTATTTTACTTATATGTATATGCTTTTACTTTTTTATATTTTACTCATTTTTATCTATTTTCTTTTTATCTTATCCTATATTTTATGTTTTTATATTCTTTTACTTGTTTTTTATTTATTTGCATTATCATTTTATTTTTATTTAGTTGTTTACTATGTATATTAGTGTTATTGTATTTTTTTATTTTATATATTTTATTCATTTTATATTTACTTTATTTCTTTCTTAATCTCCTTATTTTATTTGTTTTACTTTATTTATCATTTATTTATCTCTTCTAACCCATATTTTGACTTTTAAAGGGTATATTTGTAAATCCGTCAAAGTTAAGTAATTTTGGATCATTATTTTATTTTTTAATTTAAACTTATAATTTTCTTAATCAAAGACAACTGGAAATTACGTAGTACCGAAAGGGCAGTTCAAGGGTGTTGATCCTTCCTTGACTGTAACCGACTCCCAAACCCGACACATCTTTGGAAAGACGCAGATCAGGTAAGAAATAAGGTATCTGATCAACCTATTTATTCTTAAATAAATGATCGGTGGCGACTCCAATCCACATTTTTTAAGTCGAACCCCAATTCCGGGGCCCAACCGAAAGACGATTGCGACAAGATGAGTTTTGAATTTTATAATATTATCTTAATTTAAATATTTTATTTTGTCCTTCCGATTTCAAGACTTCGCATTGACTAATCTTATTTTAAATATTTTAATTTATCTTATTTAACAAATATAAATTACTTCAATGATTGAATATAATACTCGTAAACTTATTAAATATTAAAAAAATCAGATATAGAGTGTTATATATTTGCCTTGAATTATGGCAATTATCTATGGAATTATGACCTAGACTTTTTGTCAAGTATTGCCAAGCATGATCATTGTTAAATGGATAATTACTTTTATGTTTTATCATCTCGCAATAGCTGAATGATGAAGAATAAGCAACCAAAAATTTTCGTGGGGCTTCTGTAGTTGAGTTATTGGTTTTAATATTGTCACCCTCCCTAGTTTCCTTGGTGCTTTGCTACTGCTACCCCATAAATTAATGACATTTAATGATTTTTTTCACGTAAAATAGGATGACCACAAATGGGTTTCCATTAATATGGTGGCCTCCCACTACTTATATGAAACATTAATTTGCTAGCAAATTATAACAGGGATTGAGGGAAGCCATGAAATCATAATGCATAAATTAAAGTAATTATAAATCTAAAAATATTTTTGAGTATAAGTTTGTGTATATATATATATATATTATATACTTTTTTGCATGAAATAGACAAGAATAAAATTTTAAAATGAGTACAATAAATAAAATAAATTATTAATTAATAAATTTAAAAGTGAGCACGTGTCCACCTAACATAAACGTACATCCGATATTGAATTAAAGTTCCCAACCTTTTTTCCCAGGCCAGGTCTAGAGATTAGATATGAGACAAAATTTCAATCAGAATGAAGAAAGTCAAATGAACTATAAATATTGGACTATCCTAAGTTAAATTCATCTTAATAGATCTCCATTTTTTTAATAAATATTCAATGCTCTGTAGCATTATATAACTTTGCCAAGTTCTCGGGAGTTATTTGCAAATATGGATTATCAATGGAACATGTGGATTAATTTTCATTTAATATTCACTCAAAGGATGATTTGATTTAGGGAGTATAAGATTACTTATAAAAATAAAACTATCAGAATATAACTTCACTTAATATCTACCGAGAATGTTGTATTATCTTGTTTGACAGGAAAAAAAGATTACAATATTTGATTGAGAGAATATAAGATAAGAATCATGTATATTTTAACAAATTATCATTAAGATATATTTTCTTATTAAAAATTAAATTTTAAAGATTAAAGTAAAAATATTTACATGAAAATTGATTGAAAATATAATTTTATCTATTATTTTTAATTTATATATTTTTATAAAAAATATTCAAATAATTTAATAAAAAGTAAATATAAAAATTAATAAATAAAATATCAATTCATATTATTTGACAAAACTAGTAAAAGAACATAAAAAATAGAAAATCTTTTATGAAAATTAACCGTAAAAATATAGGTAATAAAACACATAAAAAATAAAATTTGAATAAAATACAGGCATATTAAATAATCAAAAGAAAATAAAATTTTGATATATTTATTTTTTATTTTATATGCATCATATTATTGTATAATAAGTATTAAAATAAAAAATTTGAAACCATTAAAAAAGAACAGAAAAAGATTTATACTTGTGTAATTATGTACAAAAAGAATTATCATTTTGAAATAACTATATTATTTAGGAGTATTTTTGTCCTAAAAAAAGGAATTGTCTAATACCTAAGGAAATGAAGGAAATGAAGGTTATGACATTTATAAGAAAATACTCTAAAATTGCTATTATATGGAATACTTCATTATCTCTAGAGAGAATGCTCTTATATTAAACGTGGGCATGTGAAAAAAAATTATTCCTTCTAACAATAATCTTTTCCGGGAATCAAACATCTCACGAGAGACAAAATAAAAAGACATAAATAAAATACTTTGAATCAGGGGAATTCACTTTAAAGGAGATATTGGGGTCTTGGTGATAAAATTGTGTCTAGGTCCTTTTTAACATTAAGAAACTATATATTAATATATGATAAAATTATATTTCAACCTTCTAAAATGATAAAATTTTTAAGAACTACATCTCTTCTCAAATCTTTTAGTTCTAAAGACTAAAATCTTAATCTTTTTATTTGTAAGGTGTATTACTTTATCACCCAAAAAAAAAATTAAATCACCAAGGAATTCTCTTCATTAAAATTTATCGGCTACTAATGAGTATAATAAATTAAATAAACCCTATTTTTTCTTTTCCCCCTCTTTCTTCTTTCCTCTTTCCTTTACATTATTCCTCTAATTTTCTCTTGATTTCTCCATATTCTAGCTACCGTGATGACCATTGCCTATCATCGTCGACGACGATCCATAAATCCTAAATTTTCTATCAAACTCATTTCACACTCTTAAAAGCAAATTTGATGTCTATTTAATTGAAAAATGTTCTAAATTCAATGAATCAAGTGTTGAACTCTTCGATTTCATGTTCTTTGATCATCGTCGTCGACCTTTTGTTGGAACCCAAATAAAAATATGTTTTTCTTAGCCCCAAAAGAGACCTTTCTACTATTGAAATCTTGAAATGAAGACTTTAATAATTAGAGATCGACTAGAGTCGAAAATGAACTTTTTTTAAATTTCTTCTTTTTCTTAAACAAGCTTGATCCATTAAAACTATAAAAATCCAATTTATATTTCACACAGTAAAAGAAGAAAAGAAAAGAAAACCAATGAAATCTGTTTTTTTGATGTTTCTACAGGAGCTAGGTTTATAAATCATTCTCTCCCCTTGGAAAAAGAAATGAATAAATATGTGAGCTTATTTTATTAAGTAAAAGAATTGTGGGATGACATATTTTTAAAGAATGGAGCATAAAAAAAGGGGAAAACATAAATGCCCATTATCCTTTTACTCCTTTACTGTTTTACTGTTTGCTTACATTACACCTTAGCCTCCTGCTTTTCTTGAACCAGTCTTTCCTCCACGCTTGCTTTGCCGTCTCTTTCTCCTTCTAGTTTCCTTCTTCCTTCCCCGTTACCCTTTTCTTCACGAAACTCATTTTCCCGAAAAAAGAAAAAAGAGAGAGAAATCCGGAAGCCGTGCCGGAGGGATGGTTCATTGGTTGCATATCATGGTGGCAGTGGTGACCACCGCAATTCTTTTGATCTTTTGGTTTGTATTTATTCGTATCTGGTGTTTCCATAAACACCCTCTAGACATCGTTGCTGATCAAAACAAGAGAAAGGGGAATTACTATGTTTTTCGACGTGGGGTTTCAGCAAAACCTTTGTTTAGTTGGGCTGATCATCCATCTCTCATCACTGACGCGGTTGAAAATGGATGGTCCAGATTTGGCTTTACACCCAACATGCCTTCTCCATCTACAAGATCAAGCCTGTTGGGTTTACGTGCACCTGGTGATCATGGAAGAGGAAATGAAATCGAAGTAAACTGGGAAGTCTCACAGGGATCAGTAGATTTCATGCAAAAGATTAGTCTAAAATCTGGGTCAAAGAAAGGAAATAGGACTATAACTCATCATCATTCCATGGCTGCTTCATCGGTTATTAGAACAGCTTTGCCTTTGCCAGGGCCGCCTCTGGGGAACTCTGCTTTTCCTCAAGAGGCCTATTTCGAGATCAAGATTTTGTATTGCCATGGACATGATCATGACTCGAGTGGAAAGCTGAAGGAAAGTGAGATGACGAAACTGATACATGAGAATTCCAACCCCAAAACAAATTCAGAATCTTTTGACAATGTAATTAATAAGATTGAGGAATTAAACTCTGCAACTAAAGATGATGGAAAAGGTGACGCAGTAATGTTATCCGTGGGACTAACTGCTGGTGGCTCTCTTCCTTTGAAGCTCCCTGGAACCTTTCCAGGATCAATCGGTTTCAATTCAAACGGTTGTGTCTATCTAGACGGTATCTATTTTTCATCACTCTTTTTAATGAAATCAGTTAAATGACATACATACATACATACATACATACATACATACATACATACATACATACATACATACATACATACATAGGGGGTTAGATATACTACTATTATATCTCTAACCTTACTTGATGAACTCATGATTTATTCAATTCCAGGAATTAAGCTTGTGTTTGGATCTGAGAAAGAAGAATGGGGGAAAGCAGAGAAGGTGATAGGTTGCGGGTTCGATCCTAGGCAAAAGAAAGTGTTTTTCACCTTAGACTCAGAGCTGGTACATGTAATAAACTGCAAGTCAGAGGAATTTGGGACTCCTCTTTATCCAACACTTGCAGCAAACGATGATGTTTTGGTTCTAGTTAATTACGGACAAAGTGCCTTTGCCTATGGTCCAGCAAATGGGAATCGAACACCGAACCCGTGTTTCATTGGACCCCTTGTAAATTCCCCTGCTGCTCTCGGCTATGAGGACAGCAAAGAGCTATTTTCAATGGGAAGAATTGATTCCCAATGGCTTAACAGAAGCACAACTAAAGGCGGCCATCGTTCAGCAATGGAATTTGATGAGGAGTCTGAGGCTGATTTATTCGAAATCGCATTGGAAAATGGAAGATCCCCTAACTCAGTTCTGTAGGGCCTACAAGACTGATCGTTTCTTTCTTTTGTCATTGAATGAAGTTGTTGTCCGTATAGTTTTAGTTTGATAAATTTCTTGTATAGTTGAACCGCTGCGATGTTTAGCAGCAGACACGAGGAATTCTCTTTAATCATTTAGAATAACATCTTTCCTTGAGAACGATACGTAACTTGATGCATCGTATTGAATAACATTTGTTCATTTTTGGATATGTTTTGCCTATATTTGATGATTTGTGGGTATACTCAAATTTTGTGCATCCGGTAAGTATTTCTATATCAGATTAGCCTTGAAACAGAAGATGAAACTCTCACTAGGAAATGGTAAACACCAATACTTGAGATTTGATTATGAAAAATTAGCCATGCTCTGCTTCTTGTGCGGCAAATTAACGATGCTCCTCCGAGTACTTTGGCACCGGTGGCTAGCATTTGGCTACGATATGATAACTACGATTGTATTTCAAAACCTAGCGACTCAACCAACGTAAATCATGGGATATGGCCTATTCTGATCAACCCTCGTCCTAAAATCATGGGAGATAATGCCTCCAAATATAAGGTGGTCGATAGTTCAAATGTAAATCCAATACTCGAGGTGAATGCAGGGTCAAAATTTCGTCTAAGAGACTCACCCTTCAAATTCAAGTGTGCAACGCGAAATGATGAAAACCCTAAAATTGAGAGGACAACCAAACAAATAAAACAAAATTTCATTTATCATACAACTTGATTAGATAACGGAAGAACGTACATCGTGATTAATTGAGCATAAACTTAGAACATACAAAAAGTTTCATAAAATTGAGAAAACATGCTTAGGAATTATTGCCTTTTCACATACACTAAATATAATCTTGTCAAAATTAAAAACTTAAGCTACTATACATCAATTTAATATCCATACAAGCATCATGCGAAATTATAGCTCAGTCAAACTACAAATTAAACTCTAATTGCATTAACACGGAATACTCATGACTAAATCATAAACTAATAAATAATTAATGTACTAGTATTTTGTAATATCCCATTTTTATCTGGATTTGTTATTTAGCCTGATTGACCCAAATATTTTTTAACATTTTTATGTCATCCACATTCGAAAAAACTAAAATAAAAATAATAATTTATTTACTTTATTACAAATGTCACCCAAACATCCCATAATCTATTACGGGTAGACCCCTTTATATCAGCCTGCCTAAACCCACATAGCAGAGCTCAACAGGCCCAAATGTTTAAGGGTTTCAAGAAACACTAGCAAACAAAAAAGACCCATTTATACCAATCATCAATCCTTGCAAAATATATTGAAGGTGAGGCTTCGTTGAACATCCAATGTGGTGGGGCTTACATAAAATCGCAATGGATAATTGATTGTTAGAGATAATGACAAAGGAGAAAGAGATTCCAAGTAAGACTAAAGTCGGATCCTCTGTTTTCGTCTCTTAAGTCTTATTCTTATCAGTTATCAACATACTATCTTCTCTCTGGAATTTGTCTACCTGTATATATACCAACAAATTATACAAGTGGAGTTCAATCCTGCCAAAAGAGAAAAAATCATATAAGTTTATGGTTCACATGGGAGTCGAGTCTAGTTGTGTTTTAATTCTTCAACTGGATGGGTGGTGCCTTCCAAGTCACCCAATGAACCTTAGCTACAATCTCACATCACATGCACTACTAGTTATCATGAGGACTCAACATGTCTGCCAAATCCCAATCTGATTGGATAAGATACTTGAACCTGGATACTAGACGCTGATATTTGCACCTTAAATTGCTAGTTGGATTGCAAAAGTATTTGTAAAATGGTAGGGATCTAGATGGCACAGAATCACACACTTTGGAGGCTCCCGTGTTATTAATTGTTAAAATAAAAAGTATAAGGAAAAATATTAATTGTTAAAATAAAAAGTATAAGGAAAAATATTAATTGTTAAAATAAAAAGTATAAGGAAAAATATTAATTGTTAAAATAAAAAGTATAAGGAAAAATATTAATTGTTAAAATAAAAATTATAAGAAAAAATTTAACCCTAATCTCGAATCCGACCCGACCAAATACAAAAAATATGACTTTGACTTAATTTGAATCTGAATTTTCAAATTAAAAAACAGATTCGATCGAACTGGATCAAAACATATCATATCGAGGTGAAAGGGTCCTCTCTAATTTAATATTCTATTTCTTTTAATGAAATGTCTTTATTTAATTTAATCTTCTATTTCTTTTTCTTTAAAAATAAAATACTGAAACTATCTTCGCACATGTTTTAAACCGTCGCTGTTGACTTTTGGATCCATCTTCTCCAACTGCAATGGCAGAATTAGAGATTTTATTTTGATGGCTGATTATTAAAAGTAATTTAAATAATAATCTTATCTACCAAACTATATGTGTCTAGATACGACTTCATGGAGCAAAAGTAGATCTATAACATGTTTTTTCAATAAATCTATATCGACCCGAATTTCAAAGTTAATTTATGCGTTTTAACCCAGGATAGCCCTGAGTAGGTGTAGGCATGAAATCTCAATTGTGCCATTGAGCCATGTTAGGCCTCATTTGGGTGAGAATTAGGCCAAATTGGACTTAGAAAAAGGAGATTTTTAATAGGAATCCAAGGTTGAGGGACTTAGATGATAAATAATCCATTTGATCCCCCCCTGACCCTTTGAAGATGTTATAGCTCAATTGGGGTTGTTTTGTGAAGGACGTTTGAAGATTTTTATTATTATATCATGTGATCAAATGAATGATATTTAATATATTAATGATTAAAATATTATAAATTAATAATAAATCAACAATAAAAATAAAAGAAAAATATCAGTTTAGTAGTTTATTTAAAATTAAAATATATATATTCTTATTATTATATCATGTCATCGAATTGCTTATATTCAATATGTTAATGATTGAAACATTATGTATTAATAATATAAATAACGTAAGATGCGTTAATTCTACACCAGCTGATGTCTTCATGGAAGATTCGGAAGTTAGAAAGGCGGTACGGGAATTAGCGAACGAAACGCTGAAAAAACAAAGGGTACAGGAGGGAGGGACAACATATGCCGACATGGTGACAAGATCTGGAAGAGAGACGCAACTTACAACAAGACCACTCGAAGACGACGATATCGTGTTGAAAAAAATACCTTTGATTTTTATATATTATCAAATGTATACATAATACATATACATAGTATTAACACTAAGGTAACTGCTCCTAACTAATTTCTAACTAATCTCTAACAACATAACAATATTCTTCAACTAATTTTCTATGCTCAACACTCCCCCTCAAGTTGGGTTGTAAAATACATCTTTTACTCCCAACTTGGATAAAAGATATTCATGTTGTGAGACTCCAAGGGCCTTCGTTAAGACATATGTTTTCTATTCTGAAGTTGGAATGAACTCTGTCTGAATCAGTCCCTTTTGAATCTTTTCCCTTATAAAGTGACAATTTATCTCTATGTGCTTTGTTCTTTCATGAAACACTGGATTGGCTGCAATCTGCAAAGCAACCTTGCTGTCACTGTAAACTTTTTATGGCTGATCATTGTTGATTCCAAGTTCTTTTAGCAGCCCTTTCAGCCAAACAAGTTCTTAAGTTGTCATGGCCATACTCCTGTATTCAGCTTCTACTGACGACCTTGCAATAGTGCTTTGTTTTTTTTACTTTCATGACACCAATGATTCTCCTAATTTAATACATAATCATGTTACTGACTTTCTTGTCATGGGACAAGTTGCCCAGTTTGAGTCAATACTTGCTATAAGCTGACAACTGCTCGAAGCCTTCAGCATAATCCCTAAACCACTCTAAGAGCTGCTTCCAAGTGCTCCCTTTTGGGTCGATGCATAAACTGACTTAAATGTTGAACTGAGAAAGCTATGTCTGGTCTTGTATGTGTTAAATACAACAACCTTCCAATAAGCCTCTGAAATTCTCCTTTATTAGCCAGCTGATCCTTTTCTTGATTCTGATTTTGCTGAAATGAACTATCATAGTCAACTGTAGTAAGCTTGGTATTCTGCTCTAAAGGTGTTGCTCTTGAATAAGCTCAAGAGCATATTTCCTCTTATTTAGAAGTATTCCTTCCTTTGATCTCAAAACTTCTAAACCAAGGAAGTATTTCAACTCACCCAAGTCTTTCATTTTGAAACTTCTATGTAAAACCTTTTTCAATTATGCAATCATCTTTACATCATTTCCAGTAATCATCAAATCATCAACATAGACTAAAAGTACCACAATATTAGTCCTATGCTTCTTAGTAAACAAAGAATAATCATATTTACTCTGATCATATCCTGCTAAAAGTAGAGATTTTGTAAGTTTAGCATTCCACTGTCTTGAGGCTTTCTTTAAACCATAAAGAGACTTTTGTAGTCTACATACCATATTCTCCCCCTGACTACAAAACCCTTGAGGCAATTCCATATAAACTTCTTCATGTAAGTCCCCTTGCAGGAAGGCATTATGAACGTCTATCTGCCATAAGGGACAATAAAAAATGGCAGCAAGAGCAAGGACAAAGTGAATAGTTGTAATTTTAGCAACAGGTGAGAAGGTTTCTACAAAGTCAACCCCTTCTCTCTGATTATAACCCTTAGCCACAAGTCTTGCCTTGAACCTTTCAACTTCTCCCGAGGCTTTGAATTTCACTCTAAACACCCATTTACATCCAATGCACACTTTTGCTGGAGGCAAAGGAACAAGAGACCAGGTTTTATTTAATTCAAGAGCATGAATTTCCTCCTGCATTGCTTTAACCCATCGAGAGTCAGTTTGAGCTTCTTGAAAGTTTTTTGGCTCAAGAGAATGAGAAACAGAAAGTATTAAGGATTGTGTATGAGATGGTAAATGAGAGTAAGAAAAATGGTTAGATATAGGATACTGACCTGGAAGAGAAGTGGATTGGCAGGTATGAACAAAATCATTCAACCAAGATGGAGGTTTAGAAACTCTAAAAGATACCCTAGTAGAGACAGTACTAGGAACAGAAACAGGAGGAATAATGTTTGTAGC